CTATGGCCAGGCAATTCCAGGAGCAGGTTACGGCCAAGCTGCCAGGCAAACGCCTTCCTTCCATAGATAAGCAGAGTTCAACTGAAACAATCCTTCACCGTGACTTAGTAGCCCCTAATCTGTCCTTCTCTGGACGAAAACCGGTTAGCTCCTCAGACAGCAGGAGGAACAAGGCCAAAGTAGCACTTGTCAGAAAAGGAGCTTGCAGAAAAGGAAGCTGCAGCCAGGGCTCGAGGGCAAAGGCAGCCCAGCGCCCCTGTGCTGGAAGGCCTGAGTAAGGAGAGGTGCTGAGCTGCTTTTACCAGGACGATGCTGTCCTGCACCGAGCAGGTACCCATGGGATGGCCCCATCCTTGTGTCACCAGGATGGCAGGTCACCTGCAGCTGGGGAAAGATGTCCCTCTGCAGGTGAAGCTTATGGGAAAACAAAACCACCTCACCAGGACTCCGAGCTTTATTCACACACTGAGATGACTATTACATTTTTTATATATATATATATGGCTATATTTAATCATAGAGTGCTTAGCCAGCCCTAATACAGACTTCTACTTCCTAACTCTGCTTTTCTTCAACAGAAAACTTTCCTGAGAAGTTAGTCAGCCCAAGAATCCCTTTTTAAAAGTTAATCTTTTTTCTTCAACAGTTAAAAAGCTGCCAGCTGTTTAATCAGATTATGGAAACTCACTTCTCAGCCGAGATTAACTTCTGAGGAAATCAGAGCGAGGCAGATGCAGCCACCTGTTCCTTGGGAGCTCTCCAGAAACTCAAATGTCAGCTGTTTCAGTTAATTAATGTGTGCTAATTAATTAATGCCATTAATTTTGACCAGATAAATCAGCTTTAACGTCAGTGTAATTGAGATCAGAAGCTAGTGCTCAGATAAGTCCTCAGCCAAGATCAAAGCTAATGGGTAAAAAATCCCCCTGAACGTGGATTTCCCACCGTCAGCGTCTTGCAGGTGTGGGAGGTGGGTGCATCCTATCGCGTGGGGAGGGCTCTGCACATTTTGCTTTCCCCACAGCATCTGGTCCCTCTCACCTTTTAGGAACGTGCCCGCCGATAACGTCCAGGCTCTCAGCCGTGGTCCTGAGTCCCAGCTCCTAGTCCGTGGAAAACCGCGGGCACCGCATGCTGGCCTGTGCCCCCACCTACCCATGCTTCCCCGTGCACAGGGTTTGCTGCCCCGCTCTGCTCACTCCCGAACTCTTCATTTCACACCCGGCCTTCATCAGGGGCATTTCAGCAACAACTCTCTCCTCCTGCAAGGAGAACTGCCGCCCTGACCGTCCCTTTCACTGGCTACGTAAGCGAGGAAACGTTTCTTACCCCGCATCCTCACCAACCACCATCTAGTCCTCTATTTTTGAAATATGTAAGGCCTGAAATGTAGAATTTGGGGTTTTACACCAGCTAATATTAATAGAAACATTCTCAGGATTTTTTCCCCCCAATGTAAATGGAACACTTTTGTTTTTTTAAGCATGCCCCTGCGGTGCTCGCAGGCCAAACACTGCAGCATTGTACCCGCCCGGGGAGCTCGCTATAAACACATCTGTCTAGCTGCCCTGTCAGGCCCACTGAGCTCTCTATAAACTAGGAAAAGTAAACCTGTACATTAAATATTTACTGTTTTCAGCGCGTATAATCTAGAAGTGTTTTTAGTAGCACAAGTAAGGCGCACTTTTAATCCATGATTTTTATTTTGACATGGCACTGTTAAACACTGTATGGGTACATCCTGAAAAAGCCCACTCCTTGAAACCAGAGGCTCTCCTCTCACAACCGGTTACAAACATGATCGTGTTGTCACACACCGCTCACCTGAAAGACCCATCCTATCTCCCATTTTTCTGCTCCGATCCCAAATTATCCCGTAAGTCTAAAAGCTGAGCTTGTGGGGAGTTTCGGAAGCAGACCCCAGGTTCGGCAGTAAGAGAGGACAGTCACAGATACGTAGTTGGCTGTGTACAAAAGGATACAGACGAGTGCAAAGAGTGAAAAGAATAACAACGCAAAAGCAAACGTCTCTGAAAGTAAATAGCCGCCAGCCAGCACTCATTTTCTTTTATGATTAACATAACAGCTAGCTTTTAATGCTTGCTCCATGCAAAAGAGCTCCTGCTTTCATCTCAACACTGACACTAGGAGTCATAATTTCTGTACAACAGGAAAAGATATGTTAATGCAATCATAAAAAAGTCGCACCAAGTAGTCTGCTGGTAGCCCCTGCTAACCTTTTACTTCCTGAGGACATCGGTCCCTGGGAAAACAGTGGGCAGCAGACAGGCTTCCTGGCTGACTCAGAGATGTCCTTCTCCCCGTGGGCTGCACAAGCCGCCAGGCTCCTTGCTCCCCGTGGGCTGCACAAGCCGCCAGGCTCCTCGCTCCTGGCTGCTGGCTGGAGCCCACGCGAGGACCCTTTCGCAGAGCAGCCCACCAGCTCTCGCCGGCTGGCTTCCTACGGTTTTATTTTAGCCCCCAGCAGAGATAAGATGAGGAAGAGATTCCATTCACATAGTTTCTTCTTCACTCCCCTAGAAAAACCACCCCAACCGCCTCTCTCCACAGCGCAAGACACATCTTTCAGATTTGGATGCTAATCAAGTCTAGAGATGGTTTAGCACTTCTCCCTAATCGCAGGCACGTAAGACTGGGATGGGCAGCTATTTGCACATTCTTGGATCGTAACTCCGTCTCCACAAACATTCTTAAAGCACATACATGATCTATTGGCTGCCTGCAAGTCCTCCCTATCTGCGAGGATGACATCGTGTCTACTTACTTGTCTGCTATTGATTTTTTCACTAGACTATCACGGACTAGAAGCAAGGGGCACAAGCCAGCTTCCTGGCATCGGTTAGTTCGTGTGTGCCATAAAATAAGCATGCACAGCAGAAGAACACAGCTAGCTGCCACTGCAAGGTGCTCACGTAACATTGGTAGGCAAAGGCTAAGAGCCCAGATGGAACAGAATGGAAATAAACAGTAACGCAGCAAACGCAACTAAAGTCTCACCGTGTTTTAATAAGCCTGTGTACGTAGCAGAGAATGAGTAATGGTTCTGGACAAAGCCCACAGGCACCTCAGGGGATTCTGAAATCAATCCTGTGACATTTCCAGCAGCTAGCCTGGAAAGCGCAGTAAGTGACAGAATTCACTGTGTGGCAGAGCACGTTCAGCATCCTGCCAGATCAGGCCTCCCCTTCTATTTGCATGCAAAGAAAAAAATATATTAATCGATACTCTTTTTTTTTCAAGAAAATAGCTACAAAATGTGTTCTTAAAACCAAAGGCTAGGCAAGTCCTTTGTCCATGGATCAGCGACAAGAAACTGTTCCATCAAGGTCATGAACAGCAGGGAGGGAGGGAGGGAAAGCATCAGAAGGAAGGCAGAGGTTCCCCTAGCTTTGACACAGACTAACCTTAAGGAAACGTAGCTGTGATTATTAACTATAATGAAACAAAACACCATTGGGGAAAGAAGAGTTTGCCATGTAATTCAAATGTAGAAGAAGAAAACAAACAAGCAAACCTGAACATACCGAAGAGAGCATATTCTGGGGCACACAGTCCCGCAACACAGATAAAAGCAGGAGGCAGTTGTCTCCAAGGTGCAGTTAAGCTGTAGGCTGAGGCAGACAGCATCTAACAACCGTTACGGACCGCAGCCTGGAAGCGTGCTTTGATCAAGGATTTCTCGGGCACAACCTGACTGATTGCAGTCAGGTTCAGTTAGCTCCAGTAACTCCTTGCGATCATGAGCGATTTTCTTTTGAGCTTGCCCATTTCGTCTTAAGAGCTGTCAGTTTGCATGCATTGCTCCACGGGGAAATGCTGCACTCTGAGGACCAAAGTTAAAAGTTAAGAAGTTGTTTCTACTGAGGTCATTTGGGATGATTAACTCTCTGGGGTGGGATCCCTGTTCAAGACCGTCATCTCAGCTGACACTGAGAAAGGACCTGCATATGCTCCTGATGCCTCAACCTCCTTCACAAAAGTCAGGAGATGCAGCTGTGAAAATTTTGTTTTCTAGAATATATAAAGAGATTTCAGGCTATATTGCTATCATTTGCAAGCCCCATCACTGCGTGGGATGAAAACAATAGACACGACTAAGAAACCCTTGTGCAGCCAGGTGCTAGCTAGGACCACCCGATTTTTTTTTTTGTGGCATGGAGAGCCAAAGCCTGTAACGGTCTTTTCATTGTAAACTTCAGCTGTAGGGATGTGCCTGATGCAAACTGCATCTTCTGAATGTAGCCTGGTGTTGAAGTACACATGCATGAGAGTAGGTGAATATATATTAAGTAATCCACCTGTCTCACTGAGGAAACAGTAGTGGCTGGTACCAAAATAAAGTTAATGCCAGATCCTTGAACGACAGTGACAAAGGTGTTTTGAGTCTCTGACTGGGCAGGAGGAACTAAGCAGGAGCTGGCTGTAACGGCTTTGCATTTCTGCACCCAGCTTGGGGTGAGAAAGCCGTGCAGTACGTACTGCCGGTCAGCGGTTCAACAGGAACACACCGACCACCAGCAGGGATGCTTCTTGCCTCTGTTATGCTGCTACATCCCTTATACCTGTGTAAGGTATATCTGTATAGCAGTGCAGTTCACACACTGAAGCAGCAACGAGCACAACTGAATACTACTGCAAATTTTCCTTCTCTGTTTCTCTCCAGAGTTAGGAGGCTCACAAGTCCCCCTTCCACCTTCACACAACAGGAACCTCTGCGACACCTTCACAGCAGCCAGAGGAGAACGCAGCGCACCTACAAAGCAAAGTGCCTCTCGGTGCACAAATACTGCAAAGCAAAAACCCCCCAAATATTAGAAAACCACAGGCAAGGCACAGACTATATAAAAACTGTCAGGCAGGAGCACAGCTAAAAGGAGGGTAATAGGGAAGAGGAAGAAAACAAATAGGAAATGCTGTGCTCAAAGAATTCAGCATAAACTCCGAGCAAATCAAAGCAAGAAAAAAAAATCCGAACCCACTTGAATTTTAGCTGCCGAAGCCTTCTGGCTACTCGGCGGCTCTGCCTGCGTGTCGCTATGCTTAATTTGCCCCACTGGATTTGCACCTCCTGTGAGTGACTGAGAGGAGCCATTGACTCTGGGAGGACTGATTTAGTGCAGCAGGAACCAGCGGCCTGGCAGGGGCTGCGGGAGAGGCCCGGCCCGAGGTAGGTAAACATGAGAAGAGGAAAGGCCACAGGGAAAAAGACTGGAACAGGGAAAAGGAGAAGAAAGAGGAGAGACGGAAGAAACGCGCGGTGAAGGATGGGCAGAGGAAAAAGAGAATGAGAACGAGGAAATGGAGGACTGATTTAGTGCAGCAGGAACCAGCGGCCTGGCGGGGGCTGCGGGAGAGGCCCGGCCCGAGGTAGGTAAACATGAGAAGAGGAAAGGCCACAGGGAAAAAGACTGGAACAGGGAAAAGGAGAAGAAAGAGGAGAGACGGAAGAAACGCGCGGTGAAGGATGGGCAGAGGAAAAAGAGAATGAGAAAGAGGAAACACAGTACAAAAAAGGGCTGGACGCTGGGTTCAGTAAGGTCCTTCCCCAGAATTCACGTGGCTGTAAACCGCTGGTGTGCTCCGGTTTGGTGCTGGATACTTACTGTCAATGGGAGCACCAGCACCCGGAGGAGCTGCCGTCCTACGCAGCGCTTCACGCTGCTCGGCGGTCCCTACGCACGGCCACGAAAAACTGACGCTGGGCGGAGGGAAGATAAACCATTCAGTTATTTTTCTCTTGATTTGTTTCGCTGGCAAGTCCTTTCCCTGAAGAGACACAGGCCTGTGAAAATGACAGGACATACTCAGTAAATCTGTAATACCCGCTACGTAAACCAACTGTTTCAAATTCCTGCTTTGCATTAGCCAAGCTCCCAGCAGACTTTACCTGACAAACAGCGGTTGCCTACGGCACAAAAAGTGAGGAGCCAGTAAAATACTCTTCATGACGTGAAGCAGGGAGTATTTCCCAGTTCACTTAGGACAACAAAGGTCTGGAACAGTACGTTGCACTGAACAAAATCTGAAAAGGAAGATATTCCAAACTTTTTCCTGTTTCCTGACGTACATCCAGGAGACGCAGGCACAGGCTGGAAGGTAAACACTGGGTCACAGCTTGCGACAGGGAAATGTGTGCAGGGAAAGCCTATGAAAGGGTCACAGTCTAACCTGAACTCCAAAGAAACTCAACCCATCTCAAGTGTTGTCAACTACTTGAAATTCAGGACAGGTTTGTTAAAAGGTGCTTCAAAGCTTTCGAAGTGACCTTTTTTTGAGCAAATGTAGGTTCAGTTACAGTTTCCCATCAAAGTTGTGTGAATGTGTGGTGAGACACGAAACCAAGTCAGAAAAGGCGCTATTCATTGACTTTTCCTGTGGCATTTGCCGAATGTTGTGAAAGGCATAGATCAAAGCAAGACGCTTGGTGCGTGTCCTTAAATTAGATGTAATTAAATAAACAAGTGTTTGCATAAATCCCTGAAAAGCAAAACTGGCCAATTTAACCATGCAGTGGCGTGCCAGCTCCTTCCGCTTTTTCAAAACTGTTGAAAAATTTTCAAAATTTTCATTAATCGAGGTGTGTTGAATCACAAACTTGTTCCTCCTGATCACAACGCTGCTGTGTAAAGAGTCATCCTGGGAAAAAAGTACCAGTCAGATTCTCCATCTAAAAACCACTGTTAAGAGTTTTAAAACTGAAGTACCGCAGAAAAAACCATACATCTACAAAACCAAGGGAAGCCCGGCGTACTGGATAGCTTGGAGTCTGGAAACGGGACCGAGCCTCGCTCCTCCTCGTCACCAGCTGGGGCTCAGCCAAATCAGTAGCGATGGAAAGTCGTTACTACCATTACTGGCAACCACCTAAGTTCGCCGGTGGTCTCTGTCCAATTCTTAACGGACACATAAAATAACTCCTGTCATCAGAAATGGCACTAAGTGGTATATATTGGCAGTCTCGGGCGATAGCTGCGTGTAACTAAAGACTGAATTTCCCTTTCAGCTATTGTCCTTTCTGGTCAAATTTGGAGGCATACGAGTGATGAAGGAAACCACTGCCGCCTTCTGTAGAGCAACTTCTGGGCAAAGAGGGCCCGGAGCTTTCATCCCATCACCTTTCCCGAACCACAAAACCACCACAAAGTAAAACGTGGATCTAATTTACTGGAACGAAAAGAAAAACACGAAGAGAATAGAATGGGGGGGGGACGGGACGGGGACGGACGGGGCACCCACAA